TCATTTTAAATTAATTTGTACAATTTATAAAAATATAATTCCACTTTGACATTATGGGGTATTGTGTGTAGGCCAGTGACAAACAATCTCAATTGAATCCATTTTAAATGCAGGCTGTAACACAACAAAATGTTGAAGTCAAGTGGTGTGAATACTTTCTGAAGGCACTGTATGTATTTTTTACAATCATGTTAAGCCCTAAATCATTTGGCCTTAGACCAACAGAGCAGTTTTAGTTGTTGTTGTTTTGTTTTTGTTTTTATCAGGCAGAGGCATTCTAAATTAAAGCATGATGTCTCCTTCACTAAATTAATCTAAATAAAAAACCCTAGTTATTTAATTTCCCCTACAAGTAGCCTATTGTAATCAGTTTTATGTTTCAAAGTCAAAAGGTTTTTGTAGAATTTACATGAAAAATGCATTACCTGTCACGACTTCCGCCGAGGCTGCCTCCCCTCCTTGTTCGGGCAGGTTTCGGCATTCGTCGTCACCGGCTTACTAGCTACTGCCGATCCCATTCTCATCACTCCACTTGTCATGTCTTGTCTTGTCAATCACACACACCTGGTGCTCGGTTGAGCTACTCTTCCATTTGTTATTGCCAAGGTGGAATATTTCCCTTGTGATGTTTTCGTTTTGACGCTTGGTGCGTTTTATTTATGTAAACGGAATAAACTCTGGACTTCGGTGTTTTACCTCCTGCGCCTGACTCCTTCATTCACACCTCATCACATTACCAAGACTTGCTATAACGTTTTTCCTCTGTTAGTGTATTTAAAGTGCACAAACAAAATAACAAGTAAATTGTATTTTGTTATTGATTTGGTTGTTGTTCTAGGACTGACGTTGTTATTTTGGTACATACCGGTATTCTGACACTAAGACATTGAACATTGGGAGGGCTGATGTGACAGACGGCTCATGAAACTCCCTCCACAGCACTTTTCAGCCAGCCACAGTTCAACTACAGCTCATACACATGAGTGCTGCTCTGTTTAGAAAATATTATTCTCATGTGCTGGTCCTACAAGTACACTGGGTTTTAATGAGCAGAAGAGGGTGTCTCCCCCTATCTGCAACCCCCCTTTTCATTGTCTCTGTAAACACAAACAGATGCACACACACACACACACACATACTCACTCACATACATGTTCCTCTCTCTCTCTGTCTCTCTGTCTCTCTTTCTCTCTCTCTCTCACTTACTCACTCTCTCTGTCAGACCCACACAATCTACAGACCCACACACATCTACAGACAAGCATACGCACATCACCCCCCTCTCTCCCTCTCCCTCTTCCCCTCAGTTTTCTTCCTCTCTACCCCTCTCTCTCTCTCCATCTCCCCTTGTCTGTCAGTGTGATCAATGGCTTGACTTCCTCCTTTTGGTACGGCTGTAGGCTGTATACAAGAACACAGGACTCGCCTGGTGCTGCTCACAGTTTCACAGCAGCAGCAGCAGCCATCAGTGCTTAAAGACAATTATATCTAGAAAACACGCCGGATTCCCTCCGCAGTCAAGATGAGTGCAGGGGATGTGGTCTGCACCGGCTGGCTCATCAAATCTCCCCCTGAGAAGAAACTAAAGAGATACGTGAGTAGGGGAACAGGCTGGGGGGGTGGCTGGCTGGCTTCTGTGCTATTGTGATGCATTCTACCCAAGCAGTAGTAGTACCAGTTTCTGCTGCAGACAGAGCAGTGTGTGTGTGTATGTGTATGTGTGGGATTATCAGTGATCAACACAGCTGCACTGCTATGCCGTTAGTTCAGAAGATACTGTTGGTTTCTTTTCTGAAATTAAGCTTGCAGAGGCATGTAGAATAATGACCATTATATGCCTTTTTGTAAACAGTGTTTTCATGTAACCTCGCCTGTGTCTTCCTCCTCATTTTTATAGTAGTGGCCATTACATACTGTAGGACATGCTGTTATAACTGCTGGTCATACTGATGTGCATCATTAATGCACTGTGAAAATAGCATTTTAATGTCCTTCAGTAAATGCACATGTATTTTAAACATATCAAACTGCTTATAAACCATTATGTTTACAATTTTGAACTTTGTTTAGAATTTATATTTTTTGCAGATGGGTTTGCCTCTTATTAATAATTCAAGTGCATTATACTCTAATGTTAACATGTCTGGATGAGCATGTTGGACCAGAAGTGAACTGGGACAAGTGCCTGGCAATCTGCAGTGTTTCTGTAGGGGTCATGTGAGAGTGTTGTTGTGTAGGGAGGAAAGGGGGAGGCCACCCATTCTGGGATGTGTTGAGACTGTTGGCCTCTCATTCTGTGAAATGTGGGTGTGTATTGCAAAACATCGGAAGTACTGTCGCTGCCAAGCAGTACAAAATGACCCAACAGGCAGAAATGACCAGGCTTTATGATGGTTGTTTGCACTTTCTCTCTACAGAGGAAAGCAGAGGATGGCTTTTCTGAACACTAGCACAGATAAAGGGGGCAGTGGTAATTCACTGGAAAGAGAGTCACTGCAGAGATACTATTTGGTGGAAAATGGGGCTTTGTGGAGGACACAGACAAACAGGAAGGACATCGTTTTTCATTGCAAGGACCAGACTAACCATACACGAGCAAAGTGTGTGGGCATACATTGGACTCATCACTCCCTACACATAGCAAGTTAAGGTCCAGAGCAGCTAGCTCTTAGAAACACTAATGATCAGACTCAGGAAATCAGATAGTGAAAGTAACAGACAGTTTCAATTCTCCAACACACAGACGTCACAGCTAACATTGCAAGTGGCCCATGCTGTTGTAAACAAACCCAAATGCATAAGTTAACCACATTTAAATATAAAATAGACAATGCCTGTGCAAGGGTAAACAAAACAAATTAAAGGATCTGTAAGGTAAAATAGTCTCATGTTTTCATTTCTTTATAACATAATAATGTGACATTTTATAAAGAATATCATGGCGAAACATGTTCCAAACAAAAATAGTATGGTTTAGAAACATCACTCTCAATAGAACAGGCCTAGTTTATTTTCCAGCAATGTTGAGCTCGCACTCAATAAGGCCGTTATCACCACAACAAGGAAGTGTTTTTACGCATGATTCTATAGAGGTTTCTAGAGTGTGAGGATATTTCCCGTTAGTGGGTTAACCTGTTAGTGGGTTTTTGTATTGTATTTATTAAGGTTCCCCATTAGCTGCAGCCAAGATAGCAGCTACTCTTCCTGGGGTCCAAACACATTAAGGCACTTACATCACATATAAAACAAAAGACAAAACGGTACTTCATATAACATTATTACACCACTACATATCTACAATACAAAATGTATAATACCACTATACAACAATATTAAAATGTATGTGTGTGTGCGTATGCAAGTTAATTATTCTCACACCATGCATTTTAAATGTGCTTTGACTTACTGAAAATGTACCATTGATGATGAACATGAGCTGCCCTGCTCTCTGTGTCTCTGTCCTCTTTGCTACTTTACTGTGTGATGCAAATGTAGATTTACAACTTGTTAACTGTTTATGGTTTATTTGAATATGAGTGTGGGTACAACAAGACAGAGTTTTGGTTTCAAACAAACATTCTAAGCATGTTCATAACTCTCTTGAAAGATCATCACAAAGATATACAATATATTCCTGAAATTGGTGGCTGGTGGGTTATAGCACACATTTCCTTTGTCAACTGAGATAGGAATAATAGTGTAACACAGAAAACTACAAAAAGTGTTGTTAATACCACTGCCTCTTCAAAACAAATCACATTTCTTCTTTATGGTAGGTTGTTTCATCAAATTACTCTCAAAGCTCAAAAACAGCTATGATTTAATTTCAGGCAATCCATCCAGTGTTCCATGCCAACAGATCAATGACAGGTAGAATAATGCATGAATCACCTGAATACTGAATTTATTAGGCAACGGTATAAAAATATACAACTCCTGCTAAAAAGGTGGTATTGGAAATGGCTTTAAATAATACATGGGTGAAGTTTGAAAAACAGACGTAGTAGGCCTATGGAAGTCAGTTATTAATATTTGACAGTTAGTACATAGATGGACATATGACTCATAGCCCATGTGAGTGACCATGAAGTCATCACGATCATGACCAAAATGTTAAAGTACTTCAGTTAGGCCTACTTATTCAGTATCAAAATGAAGAGAGTCAGCTAAGAATTAAATTCTCATAGCATTACTGAAAACAAAACCCCTCCTATACTAATCAGTATCCATTCTGGCATGAAAAACCCATCTCAGCAGAAAAAGAGGTTGCCTTTTGAATCGTCCCCAATATGTTAGTGACCCACACTGCAATACAATTAGCTTTTTGTTCGTGTCAGACATTCTCTTCTACATAGAATTCACTTCCTCTTCTCAGCACTTCTGGGAAACGTTGTTGTCAGTTCCTCACAACAACCGTACCAAAAGCAAGAAAAAGAGTGTTGTCTATAGTTGAGGTAAATTAAGGTTGTGTTGCTAAACTTGCCACTGAACGTGGTCAGAAGAGCAGTGATACATTTTCCATAACAAAAAATGTATGTTCCCCGATGAATTGCGTGTGACATAAACTGATTGACACAGGTCACAATGCTGGAAACTACATGAGGATAAAGACAGTGCTTTGTACAAAGAATCTTTAGTCACAGTCAGGGGACATAAAAATAGCTCACATTTTTCTGTATTGAGCTACCATGTTAAAATTGTTCACTGATGGTTCTGTTGATAAACTATGAAATAAACATTGATAGAGAACAGCAACATTATATTTCTGAGGCCTTGGTTGAACCTAAAGTCACATAAAAATGCACCAACCATTATTACCAACCAGATATTTCTAAGGTTACTAACCAACTAAGGCAACTAGTCTACATATGTGTGCAGAATAATTGTATTATATTGATTTGTCTATTAGTACATGGTGCAACAGTACAGTATGTTAATCTGCGTAGTTCCCTGTTCCCTAGGCATGGAGAAGACGTTGGTTTGTTCTTCAAAGAGGACGTATGAGTGGGAACCCAGATGTGTTGGAGTACTACCGAAACAAGACCTCAAAGAAGCCCATCCGCACCATCGACCTGAGAGAGTGTGAGGTTCAGATGCAGACGGAGCAACGCCTGGTCAAAAGGGAGTTCCAGAACCAGCACCTCTTTGTTGTCAAGACGTCGTCTCGCCTGTTCTACCTGGTGGCCAAGACTGAGGAGGAGATGAACAGTTGGGTCAGTCAGATCAGGGAGATCTGTCACTTTGGACCTCTGAGTCTGGATGATGGGACAGGTAAGGAACTGGCACAGAAAAACGGTTCATTACAGTTAGAGTTTAAGCGCCTTGGGTGTGAGAAATGCGCTTTACAAATTAAATGAATGATTAGTATTAGTTACAAAATTACATTTATGTGTTCAATTTCTACAAAGAATATGGATAAACATTGATATTCAACTTTTGTTGGAGGCTTTCATCCCATGACTGAGTAGGCATGTAGGCATGTTTAGTGAACGCTGTTTATATTCAAGACTGAGATAACATACCATTTAGGTGATAATCTGATGATGACTGGTAAATCAATGAGTGGACAATATTAATTTGTCATGTGCAGTTTTGCATTGCATTTAAAGGAGATGTTTAAATTAGATGTGTTTATTCTCATTACTGCTGCAGGACAAGTGTGATACTGCCTCTAAAGTGTTGGGCCGTTACAAGTTCCTGGGCTCAAGAAATTTACTGATGTCACTTACGCAATGACATTGAAATATGATATGATATATGATTTATTGATGGTAAACTATTTTATGAATAGTATGAGCAGAATATATTTTATTTAAGCTTTATTTAACTAGGAAATACTCTGGAGGTTATAACCTGTTTTGCAAAGGGACCCTGATGTACAGTGCATTCGGAAAGTATTCAGACCCCTTGACTTCTTCCACATTTTGTTACGTTACAGCCTTATTCTAAAATGGATTAAATCGTTTTTTTTCCACTCATCAATCTACAAACAATACCCCATAATGACAAAGCAAAAACAGGTTTTTAGACATTTTTGCAAATGTATTACAAATAAATAACTGAAATATGACATTTACATAAGTATTCAGACCCTTTACTCAGTACTTTGTTGAAGCACCTTTGGCAGTGATTACAGCCTCGAGTCTTCTTGGGTATAAGCTTCGCACACCTGTATTTGGGGAGTTGTCCTGTTGGAAGGTGAATCTTCGCCCCAGTCTGAGGTCCTGAGCGCTCTGGAGCAGGTTTTCATCAAGGATCTCTTTGTACTTTGCTCCGTTCATCTTTGCCTCAATCCTGACTAGTCTCCTAGTCCCTGCCGCTGAAAAACATCCCCACAGCATGATGCTGCCACCACCATGCTTCACCATAGGGATGGTGCCAGGTTTCCTCCAGATGTGACGCTTGGCATTCAGGCCAAAGAGTTGAATCTTGGTTTTCATCAGACCAGAGAATCTTGTTTCTCATGGTCTGAGAGTCCTTTAGGTGCCTTTTGGCAAACTCCAAGCAGGCTGTCATGTGCCTTTTACTGAGGAGTGGCTTCCGTCTGGCCACTCTACCATAAAGGCCTGATTGGTGGAGTGCAAAGCTGTCATTAAGGCAAAGGGTGGATACTTTGAAGAATCTCAAATAAAACATATACATTAGACCGGTGGAAATGTGTCCTTTGTTCTGGAGTCCAAATTGAAAATTTTTGGTTCCAACCGCCGTGTCTTTGTGAGACGCAGTGTGCGTTAACGGATGATCTGCGCATGTGTATTTCCCACCGTAAAGCATGGAGGAGGAGGTGTTATGGTGTGAGGGTGCTTTGCTGGTGACACTGTCTGTGATTTATTTTGAATTCAATGCACACTTAACCAGCATGGCTACCACAGCATTCTGCAGCAATACTCCATCCCATCTGGTTTGGGCTTAGTGGGACTATAATTTGTTATTCAACAGGACAATGACCCAACACACCTCCAGGCTGTGTAAGGGCTATTTTACCAAGAAGGAGAGTGATGGAGTGCTGCATCAGAAAAGCAGCCAACAAGTGCTCAGCATATGTGGGAACTCCTTCAAGACTGTTGGAAAAGCATTCCTGCCCCACCTGCCCTGAATGACGCGTCACCACTGTCAAGGATGATCAATGGAAACAGGATATACCTGAGCTCAATTTCGAGTCTCATAGCAAAGGGTCTGAATACTTACGTAAATAAGGTATTTCTGTTTTGTATCTTTAATAAATTAGCACAAAAAAAAAATGTCATTATGGGGTATTGTGTGTGGATTGATGAATATTTTTAAAAAATGTAATCCATTTTAGAATAAGGCTGTTAAGTCACAAAATGTGGAAAAGGGGAAGGGTCTGAAAACTTTCCTAATGATAGACACACAAAGACGTATGCACACACCTACCTCAATGTTGTAGCAATAATCAAATCATTTTGCAGAGAGCTTCTGAGTGTTACAGTTTTTTTCAATCGCTTTGATGCATTTTTCACTAGTGTGTGGTACAACTCTTTGTACAACAATCTAAACAGATAATCAAAATTGGTCATGTTTCAAAACTCATTTTCAATTGACTAAGTACAGATGTAGGAACTTAATTTGATCACCCTGTTGCAGGATAACGTTCCTACAATGCAGGACATTTAAAACTTGTTGTGTATTTGAATTTTAAAAAGGCTTCTGAAGTTTGTAATTTCTACTTAAACATTTCTGACTTTATTTTCCCTTACAAAAAATGTATCAACCCCTACAAAGATGTTCATGAATTATAATCCACATAACAATTCACATTTCCTGTTGCTAGAGGATTATTTTCCTGCTTAGCAAACTGGCTCAAATTAAGATCCTACATATGAACAACAAACAAATTCACAAAGTCACTTGCTCACTGCACCAAATAACTCTTTCAATATTCAATCCAAGTATTTTCTTTTCACAATGCAATATTCACATTACTTTTGATATGATTGTCTTGTCATTTTGTTAACAGTCACTTAATCAAACGGCTCAAAACAGATAACTACTGAACCAAAATTATACAATGCCTAGTTTACGTACACTGAACAAAAATATAAACGCAACATGTAAAGTGTTGGTCCCATGTTTCATGAGCTGAAATAAAAGATCCCAGAAGTGATCCATATGCACAAAAAGCTTATCTCTCTCAAATTTTGTGGACAAATTTGTTTACATCCCTGTTAGTGACAATTTCTCATTTGCCAAGATAATCCATCCACCTGACAGATGTGGCATATCAAGAAGCTAAAATGTGCAGTTTTGTCACACAACACAATGTCACAGATGTCTGAAGTTTTGAGGGAGTGTGCAATTGGCATGCTGACTGCAGGAATGTCCACCAGAGCTGTTGCCAGATAATTGAATATTCGTTTATCTACCATAAGCCGCTTCTAACATCGATTTAGAGAATTTGGTAGTACGTCCAACCAGCTCACAACCACAGACCCCGTGTAACCACGCCAGCCCAGGACCTCCACATCCGGCTTCTTCACCTGTGGAATCGTCTGAGACTAGCCACCTAGACAGCTGATGAAACTGGGTTTGCACAACCGAATAAGTTCTGCACAAACTGTCAGAAACCGTCTCAGGGAAGCTCATCTGCGTGCTCGTCGTCCTCACCAGGGTCTTGACCTGACTTCAGTTCGGCGTCGTAGCTGACTTCAGTGGGCAAATTCTCATCTTCGATGGCCACTGGCACGCTGGAGAAGTGTGCTCTTTACGGATGAATCCTGGTTTCAACTGTACCGGGCAGATGGCAGACAGCATGTATGGCGTCGTGTGGGCGAGCTGTTTGCTGATGTCAACGGTGTAAACAGAGTGCCCCATGGTGGAGGTGGGTTTATGGTATGAGCAAGCATAAGCTACGGACAATGAACACAATTGCATTTTATCGATGGAGATACCGTGATGAGATCCTGAGGCCCATTGTCGTGCCATTCATCCGCCACGTTGCGTTTATATTTTTGTTCAGTGTATAAAGTTTGATAACTGCTGAACACTGTACAACTCTATATTTTTACATAAATGTATAAATTGACATCAATTTACATTGGAAGGTCAAAACCAAATCATATATGGATGTGGCTGTAAATACTTCGTCATAACCCTCCATCAACCAGTGTGCTTCAATTGTACAAAGTGGAAAGTCACTCTATGTGCTACAATTAGGAATTAATCCAATCAAATCTAATCAAAGTGTATTGGTCACGTACACAGTTTAGCAGATATTATAGCAGGTGCAGCGAAATGCTTGTGTTACTAGCTTCTAACAATGCAGTAAAATGTCAAACAAGTACACAAATAATCAAAAACTAAAATCAAGAAATCAAGAAATGTCAGAACGAATCCAATTAACAACCCAAATAACACTTTGTCAGTAATCCAAACGCAATCTATGCGTATATACACCAAAAAGGCCCCGTGTAGCTCAGTTGGTAGAGCTTGGCGTTTGCAACGCCAGGGTTGTGGGTTCGTTTCCCACGGGGGGCCAGTATGAAAAAAAAATGTATGCACTCACTTAACTGTAAGTCGCTCTGGGTAAGAGCGTCTGCTAAATGACTAAAATGTAAATGTAAAAAGATATACTAAGAATTATATGTACAGCAGTAGATTTATTACAGTGAGCTATGTCAAGAATCCAGCATATAAATAGACGGTGTATATAAACAGTATAACAAAAATGCAATGTACACTAGTAGATACAGTATATTAGAATGAGTTATGTCGAGAATAAAGTATTTAAATACACAGAGTGAAAAACAGTATAAAAGAAACGGGAAGTGTCCAGTCAATGCACTGCTGAAATACCTGGGTTGCATATAACAATATATTCCACTCATTATCTGAATTTCATTGATACACTGTAAGCTGATGTATTTTGTCAAGCAGAGAGACAGGTGATACTGTATCAGTTGAAAAGTCAAATAGAAAAGGTGATCTACACCAATAACTTTTTACTGTAGGCTACTGCTTTACAATACATTATACCCCTATATCGTATGATTTCTTCTACGTACAGTGCCTTCAGAAAGTATTCAGACCCCTTGACCTTTTCCACATTTTGTTACGCTACAGCCTTATTCTAAAATGGATAAAATAAAATAAAAAACTCAGCAATATACACACAATACCCCACTATGACAAAGTGAAAACAGGTTTTTAGAACATTTTGGCAAATGTATTAAAAATAAAAAACAGAAATACCTTATTTACATAAGTATTCAGACCCTTTGCTATGAGACTCGAAATTGAGCTCAGGTGCATCCTGTTTCCCACAGGTCCCACAGCTGACAGTGCATGTCAGAGCAAAAACCAAGCCATGAGGTCGAAGGAATTGTCCATAGAGCTCTGAGATAGGATTGTGTTGAGGCACAGATCTGGGGAGGGTACCAAAAATGTCAGCAGCATTGCAGGTCCCCAAGAACACAGTGGCCTCCATCATTCTTAAATGGAAGATGTTTGGAACCACCAAGACTCTTCCTAGAGCTGACCGCCCAGTCAAGGAGGTGACCAAGAACCTGATGGTCACTCTGACAGAGCTCTAGAATCCTCTGTGGAGATGGGAGAACCTTCCAGAAGGACAACTATCTATGCAGCACTCCACCAATCAGGTCTGTATGGTAGAGTGGCCAGACAGAAGCCACTCCTCAGTAAAAGCACATGATAGCCCATTTGGAGTTTGCCAAAAGGCACCTAAAGACTATCAGACCATGAGAAACAAGATTCTCTGGTCTGATGAAACCAAGATTGAACTCTTTGGCCTGAATGCCAAGCGTCATGTCTGGAGGAAACCTGGCACCATCCCTACGGTGAAGTATGGTGGTGGCAGCATCATGCTGTGGGGATGTTTTTCAGTGGCAGGGACTGGGAGACTAGTCAGGATCAAGGCAAAGATGAATGGAGCAAAGTACAGAGATATCCTTGATGAAAACCTGCTCCAGAGCACTCAGGACCTCAGACTGGGGGCGACGGACAGCACAACGACCCTAAGCACACAGCCAAGACAACGCAGGAGTGGCTTCAAATCAAATCAAATCAAATTGTATTTGTCACATACACGTGTTTAGCATATGTTATTGCGGATGTAGCGAAATACTTGTGCTTCTAGCTCCGACAGTGCAGTAATATCTAACAAATAATATCTAACAATTTCACAACATACTGTATACCCAAAGCACAAATCTGGTAAGGAATGGAATTTATGAATATATACATATATGGACAAGCAATGACAGAGCGGCATGGACTAAGATACAGTAGAATATTATAGAATATAATACAGTATATACATATGGGATGAGTAGTGCAAGATATGTAAACATGATTAAAGTGAATAGTGTTCCATTTCTTAAAGTCTCCTGAGTGGCGCAGTGGTCTAAGGCACTGCATCGCAGTGCTAGCTGTGCCACTAGAGATCCTGGTTCGAATCCAGGCTCTGTCGTAGCCGGCCGTGACCGGGAGACCCATGGGGCGGCGCGCAATTGGCCCAGCGTCGTCCAGGGTAGGGGAGGGAATGGCCGGCAGGGATGTAGCTCAGTTGATAGAGCATGGCGTTTGCAACGCCAGGGTTGTGGGTTTGATTCCCACAGGGGGTATGAAAAAAATTATAATAATGTAAGTCGCTCTGGATAAGAGCGTCTGCTAAATGACGTAAATGTAAATGTAAAGAGGCCAGTGATTTCAATAGGCAGCAGCAGCCTCTAATGTGCTACTGATAGCTATTTAACAGTCTGATGGCCTTGAGATAGAAGCTGTTTTTCATTCTCTCGGGACAAGTCTCTGAATGTCCTTGAGTGGCCCAGCCAGAGCCAAGACTTGAACCCGATCTAACATCTCTGGAGAGACCTGAAAATAGCTGTGCAGCAACGCTCCCCATCCAACCTGACAGAGCTTGAGAGGATCTGTAAAGAGGAATGGGAGAAACTCCCCAAATACAGGTGTGCCAAGCTTGTAGCGTCATACCCAAGAAGACTTGCTGCTGTAATCGCTGCCAAAGGTGCTTCAACAAAGTACTGAGTAAAAGGTCTGTATACTTATGTAAATGTAATATTTCCATTTTTTACTTTTTATCAAAAATCAATAAAAACCTGTTTTTGCTTTGTCACTATGGGGTTTTGTGTGTATATTGATGAGGAGGAAAAACAATTTAATCAATTTTAGAATAAGGCTGTAACGTAACAAAATGTGGTAAAAGTCAAGGGGTCTGAATACTTCTGAAGGCACTGTATGTACTGTAAGGATAATGCCACTGTAAGACACATTTTTCTCAACATGCTCCAAACTTACATAGGATACAAACAAATTATATAAAAAGAATGGTTTGCCATGAACTATAACATTTTGAAAAAACATATAGTAAAGCAGTGGACAGTGCTGCAGTAAAATCTGACTTATTTTACCCAATTCCGTTACTAGCTATCTTTCTCTGTGAAACTCATAGTGCCATAGACATTACAACTCTCTACATGCATGCAAGTTCAGCCAGGGTGATGCTTGAACAGTTAGAGGGGGATGCTTGAACACTTAGAAACCATGCTCATGTCTCATCCACAGCTCTCCCCCTGGTTTGGAGTTAATAAGAGTTGGCAGTTGGAACATTTAGTAAAACATTGTTGTCTGTATGGAGCAGATAGGGCAGACTACATGATATCCAGACAAAGAGAAGAGATTATAGCTCAGAGGAACAGTAGCAAAACCCAGGCTTACACATAACTGGGAAAGATAACACAACGTCAGACATTCAGTCAATGATATCCTGAACTTGTTGACTATTCAGGACACAAAAAAAGAAGAAAATCCTAAATGTATGTGAACGTAATTCCATCCATTGTGAAAGAAACACGAGATACTGCCACAATTATTTATTTGTATCTGCAGTTTCATGTGCTGAAAAAATAACAAGTTTATGCTCTGCCCTGATGTTACAGTATGAGTCTTATAAATACATAACTAATTAGAGCATTCAATATTCAAAGATGAGTTATTTCTGAAAATATATATTTTTTAAATGTTAGTGTATATCATTGTCTGTAGAAATATAAATACACAAAGTGTTTATAGATCAATCCCATATTATTTCCCCCATACTGATACCCATACTGTGTCTTTATAACTATAATGAACTCAGTTACTGAAAGCCCAGCAGAGATGATTACCAGTGATTAAGTGAAATACTAGTTAAGCAACGTGTGAATGATGATTACATGGATGTTTCCCCTTATACAGTGCTATGAAAAAGTATTTGCCCCTTTCTAATTTTCTCTACTTTTGCATATTTGTGATACTGAATGTTATCAGATCTTCAACCAAAACCTAATATTTGATAAAGGGAACATAAGTGGACAAATAACACAACAATTACATATTTATTTCATAAACAAAGTTATGCAACACCCAATTCCCCTGTGTGAAAAAGTAATTGCCCCCTTACACTCACTCCCCAAACTATCACACCACCACCACCATGCTTGACCTTTGGTATGATGTTCTTACTGTGGAATGCAGTGTTTGGTTTTCACCAGGCATTACTGGAACCATGTCGTCCAAAAAGTTATACTTTTGAATCATCTGTCCATAGAACGTTCTTCCAAGAGTCTTGATGATCATCCAGGTGCTTTTTGGCAAACTTGAGTCAACTTTTTGGACGAGATGGGTCCCATTATGCCTGGCGAAAACCAAACACTGCATTCCACAGTAAGAACATCATACCAAAGGTCAAGCATGGTGGTGGTGGTGTGATAGTTTGGGGAGTGAGTGTAAGGGGGCAATTACTTTTTCACACAGGGGAATTGGGTGTTGCATAACTTTGTTTATGAAATAAATATGTAATTGTTGTGTTATTTGTCCACTTATGTTCCCTTTATCAAATATTAGGTTTTGGTTGAAGATCTGATAACATTCAGTATCACAAATATGCAAAAGTAGAGAAAATTAGAAAGGGGGAAAATACTTTTTCATAGCACTGTATATCCTGATCATATAGATCTCACGCTCCTGTCTGCATGTTCTCACCGCTCAACTAAAACCATTTTATAAGAAAACAAATAGTTATAGCTATGTTCCACTAGTCAGCACATTGCCTCAAACATTCTCAATAGAAAACTCAAACACACAACTCGGAAAGTATTCAGACCAATTGACTTTTTACACATTTTGTTACTTTACAGCCTTGTTCTAAAATTGATTAAATTGTCCCCCCCCCCCTCCATCAAACTACACACAAAACCCCATAATGACAAAGCAAAAACGTGTTTTTAGACATTTTTGCAAAAGTAAAAAAAAAAAAAAATGGAAATATCACATTTACATAAGTATTCAGACCCTTTACTCAGTAGTTTGTTGAAGCAGCTTTGGCAGCCAATACAGCCTCGGCACACCTGTATTTGGGGAGTTTCTCCCATTCTTCTCTGCAGATCCTCTCAAGCTCTGTCAGGTTGGATGGGGAGCGTCGCTGCACAGCTATTTTCAGGTTTCTCCAGAGATGTTCGATAGGGTTCAAGTCCAGGCTCTGGCTAGGCCACTCGAGGACATTCAGAGACTTGTCCCGAAGCCACTCCTGCATTGTCTTGGCTGTGTGCTTAGGGTCGTTGTCCTGTTGGAAGGTGAACCTTCGCCCCAGTCTGAGGTCCTTAGTGCTCTGGAGCAGGTTTTCATCAAGGATCTCTCTGTACTTTTCTCAGTTCGTCTTTCCCTCAATCCTGACTAGTCTCCCAGTCCCTGCCGTTGAAAAACATCTCCACAGCAAAATGCTGCAACCACCATACTTCACCGTAGGGATGGTATCAGGTTTCCTCCAGATGTGACACTTGGCATTCAGGCCAAAGAGTTCAGTTTTGGTTTCATCAGACCAGAGAATCTTGTTTCTCATGGTCTGAGAGTCCTTTAGGTGCCTTTTGGCAAACTTTTACTGAGGAGTGGCTTCCGGCTGGCCACTCTACCATAAAGGCCTGATTGGTGGAGTGCTGCAGAGATGGTTGTCCTTCTGGAAGGTTCTCCCATCTCCACAGAGGAACTCTGGAGCTCTGTCAGAGTGACCATCAGGTTCTTGGTCACCTCCCTGACCATGGCCCTTCTCCTCTGATTGCTCAATTTGGCCGGGCGGCCAGCTCTAGGAAGGGTCTTGGTGGTTCCAAACTTCTTCATTTTAAGAATGAAGGAGGCCACTGTGTTCTTGGGAACCTTCAATGCTGCAGAAACTTTTTGGTACCCTTCCCCAGATCTGTGCCTCGACACAATCCTGTCTCGGAGCTCTACGGACAATTTCTTCGACCTCATGGCTTGGTTTTTGCTCTGACATGCACTGTCAACTGTGGGACCTTATATAGACAGGTGTGTGCCTTTCCAAATCATGTCCAATCAATTGAATTTACCACAGGTGGACTCCAATCAAGTTGTGGAAACATCTCAAGGATGATTATTATATTATGATCAATGGAAACAGGATGCACCTGAGCTCAATTTCGAGTCTCATAGCAAAGGGTCTGAATACTTACGTAAATAAGGTATTTCTGTTTTTAATTTTTAATACATTTGCTAAAAATTCTAAAAACCTGTTTTTGCTTAGTCATTATGGACTATTGTGTGTAGATTAATTTATTATTTAATCCATTTTAGAATAAGGCTGTAAAGTAACAAAATGTGGAAAAAGTCAAGGGGTCTGAATACTTTATGAATGCACTCTACATGCATGGGCGGCACACACAGACACAATATATGCACTGTATATTGTTTGGAAAAGTTAAGAAGAAAATTGTCTTTCTTTTTTTCAATATATACCTGGTCTTTTTTCTTCTCGTTCTTATGTTTTATGGTGCTGGTGAGATAATGTTTATACGCATGTCACATGTTTATACGCATGTCACATGTTTATACGCATGTCACATGTTTATACATACACAGGTGTTGTGATTATACTGTACCATAGTGGATGTTTTATTAGCAGAGGGGTTGCTCAGTCTGAATAGCTACGTGGTAGGGGCTTTGTTTACAGTAAGGGGGACATGGACAAGGTCAAAAGCATTAAAAGCACTGTTCAAATTCGTCCCACTGCCACCTGCTGGAGATCGTTGACAACTACGTCTCAGAGATCACATTTGTCAAGAGACAGATCAGGATTCCTGTCTGACTCTGGCCTAATTTACATAACATTATCCTGAGCCAGCCCAGAACTAATGTAGAATCTCTCTATTCCTTCTATTTTCTCTCCCCATCCCTCCGTCTTTCACAATCAGAGGAAGGTTTTTTGCACACCCCAACCTCCCAGCAGCCTTCACCTGCTCTCTCCCGAAATATGTCATTCACTTCCAACCATGACTTCATGGCCTATGGTAACAGCAGAGTGGAGATGCCCAGTCAGATGGAACCCAACCATCCAATGGACTACCTCTTCCTCTCACAGTGTGAGACAGGGAGGTTCAGCATCTTTAGGTATGTAGTCTATACCTCTCAAACCTCAAACTGGACACCATATCCACACGTTGTTTTAATGACGATAAACGATAAGCAATGTATTTTCCTTTTTCTTTCTGTTATGAGAATTATTTAACAAACTATTTCAGTGTCTCTGTGCATCTCCCAAAAGGTTGTAATGCCTTTGGATCAAGAAACGGACAGAGTCCCAGTCTGCATAGTCAGAGATGTTTATTCATTGAGAATTCTGTCACAAAATGGTCGTACAATATTTTTATACGCACACGTCATACGAAAATCCCACCCCTCTGTAGGCGGGCTGTCGTTTTCCACTTTAAAACTGCTCTCCTGACCATCAGTTCACACACACACACACATACACACACACACACACACACACACATACATACACACACATACACATTTTCTTATCATAGTCTCTCTCCTCCCTAAATTGGGAGGCCTCTTTATCTTGGTTTCTCAGTTGCCTGTAGACAGTTCTCCTTGTCCACATTGCTAAATAGTAGCACAATGTCATAATCTTTACTGGTCCTACACTCACACATTACCAGGTAGTAGATTCTAACACATCTCACACAGTTTCTGAGTATAATAATTAGTCACTACTAAGAAAGTACTAATCATACTTAAAACAAGAACATTTCACAACTATATTTAAGGGTGGAACATTTAGTCATTACTTTTAACCTGTATATATTTTAATTTCTATATCACTTTCTTTTATAGATGCGACAGCTATTCAAACTCTGAGCGATCTCTGGAACAGAATTCATCAGATGCTACTACAGAAGATGTCTTCTCTTCACCTGATCCTTCTCGGTCTCCCTTTCCCCACACTGGACCATCTCTGTCCCCCTTCCCCCACATAAGGACGCATGACCCCCCTTTCAGCGCCCCATGTGGCCCCACGTCATCCTCTTCCTCTCCTCTTCCTCTCCACCGTGCACCCAACGTCTTCCAGTTTGACAAGCCATATTCTTCTGCCATATTGGAGGTAACCACTGATGGACTAACTCCCCCTCCTCTGCCCCCCAAGCCTATCCACCTCTCAGAGCACCTCAGTGATGAGGGCTCCCATAGGCCTCTGGGTGGGTTTGGGCAGTGGCTCACAGGCCAACCTGCACTCATCCCCCGGAGGATCTCTCTGTCAGGCCTGCCAGACCACTTTAGAAGAGGTACAGTATATAACCAGCAGAGTCCTTCAGTCTAGGCCCTTCATACCTGGCTCCATATACTGGTATATGTAATACGGTATATGTAATATATACAGCACAACCGCCTTCATCAGTGATATTTCTGTCTTATCTAGAAGACATTGAGGGGAGTGCACTGAGGAGCAGGAACAAAAGGCTCAGTCTTAATTTGGTAAGTGCACATGTACTTGCAATTGATGGGAACTGATAGGCATTTTCAATACTACAAAATGTTTTGGACATAATGTTGTTGGATAGTTAATAGCAGGTACTAATTCTTAACTGTCATTTTTTCCTTCTTGAATGTCAAACAACAATACAGGATTTACAAGTGACTTTTCTACATTATTACATTTACATTTTACATTTTAGTCATTTAGCAGACGCTCTTATCCAGAGCGACTTACATAGGCCATGGTCTACTACACGTTCCTAAGTTGGTCTGGTCTTGTTGTCTTTTTGCAGCCACGTTTCATTGCCACTCAAAGTCCAAACTGCCATGAGGACTCGTACGTGCCCATGGCCTCTCCGCCTGTCTGTGTTGGTGAAGATGTATCGGACGGCTACATCCCTATGAGCCCCACTCCAATCAGCTTCCTCAAGGTTAACGGCAAAACAGAGGCCCCTCTCGCTCCCACCCCCTTTCCCACTGCAGGTCTACCTGGGGATCCAGAACCACCTCCAATCAACAGGGATCTCAAACCACGCAGGAGAGGTAATGAGCAAAAAGGAAGTAAAAAGTAATGTCTAAAGGGCTACATAATATATTCAATCCTCTTACTCAGTAGAGGAAGCACAAAAAATATTTTTTGCTGAAAAGCAAATTGAATAAGGTTTTACATTCTATTGAATCTTGTGACTCTCACAAGACCCAATATTGGATACATGTAGTCTGTGAAAGTCTCCTTTTGGGACAGTATGTGCAGCATGACTCTTTTTGAAATGTTGATATTTCAACACAAATGGTTTTGTTGGGAGAAAAGTAGACCTGATCATTATTGTCCAATATAGAATTTGAGGGTTGCTTGCCTCACCTCACCATGTTGTTTCTCTGGTTCGCAGCCCGGCCTCCACCACTGGACCTGAGGGGCCTGTCCACTATAAGAGAATGTCCAACTCATATGCCTTTGATCAGAACCATGACAGAGCCAGGGTGAGTCAGATATAACTCTCTCCATCCTGAACTCTCATCTCTCTTTCTGTCCAAATTCTAAAATGAAAAAAAGGAAGACAAACTGGATTAATTTGTTTGTGTGTGTTTGTGTGTTTGTTTGTGTTGTTCCCAGAAATTCACTGCAAGTCCTTCTGGAGAGAAGACAAGGACAGCTGGGAATTAAAGAAGACCAAGAAGCCAGCAGCATTCCAATAGTAAAGTTACCTTCTATATTGACATCACAAATAGTTTCCACAATCTACAGAGAGAAAAAAAGTACCCCAGTCACTTTATAGGTAGACTGCTTTCCTCCACTGCCATGAATAATTCAGCTGTTGTGTCTAAACTCTGAGTTCCAAACTGCCTAAAGCAAAGGAATAAAGGTTTGAGCATCACAATTATTAATTCATGTTTGGGGTACCAATAAAGGCTTAAAATATTACAATTGATCTTCACCTGAAACTAGCAATACAAATGGAAAGTGTTCAGTGTTGGTGAACCATATGACATAACATATTCAGAGACGAATGTGAAGTGAGTCTCATTGTAAGTGAGATTACTTTAATTTCAGGAGTCAAGGCAGCTGTTATTCTCAACAAACGAGGGAGCCACCCAGCCGTGGTTTAGGAGATCAAACCTTGACTACCTTTCACTGGATTTCAATTCCGCATCCCCGTCTCCTGTGCAAAAGGTAAGCTTGATTGAATAAATAGAGGTCAAATGGTGGGAATGGGTTTGTCTCCAAAGCAAGACATGGAATCAATTCAACCATTTAACGGCATTAGAAGTGTCTGTCTTTCACTTTGAGCTGCCACTGGCAGCTTTAAAGGACTTCAAATTACAGTCATCATCCACTGCAATTCCTTCTGGTCATTGTAATGTGTGTAGGCATATCAATTACTTTTTCATTGGGAAATCCCCTGTACATTAATACAACTTTGTCTCTGCATGCTTAATTGATACACATGATAGTAGACAGATTGGTGTCATACATTTTCATTATTGCTTTTATAACCGATCTAGGGGAAGAATCTGACATTTGTTGCTTTGCTCACTCTTATCGTTCAATCTCCAATTGAATGTGTAATGCGCCTGTATCTAGGCAACGGGTCCTTGGGCGACTCCTTATCTGTATTCTGTATGTGACATTTTCCAGAAGTGCCACTTTTGCATTGACTCGTATGTTAGAAATCAAGCCAAATTATTGCTCTCTCACCATCTGAGCAGGGGTGCAGAATAGGTTTTCATTTAAATAGTATTTGAAACACACATACTGGTCAGACCTTAAAACAATGAACAACATACATGCATTGTATGTATCATTTTATTTGTTTGGTTTTATTGCCCCATCTTCCATCTGGATTCAATAGCCCAGATGTAAACAATACATTACATTGTGGATTTGGCTCAAATTCAAGCAAATGTGTGATAAGAATGAAATAGCACTTGCAGGGTGTAGCTCTGTCCATTTCCATGGTAATGAATCAGGCAGCTGCATACTGTGAGACAATAATGTCAGTGACTCATTGTTTTGGTGACAAGTCATTCACTCTCAATCTGCAAAAAGACATAGCGAAAGGAATACTAATGCTTTCCTTCAGGCTGAAGCATAGAGAGGACATATTACATGCAACTATAAGACTGTATAATAGCCACTGAATAACTGACAAAACAGCATCAATTTAAAATAGTTTTCCACTCTATGGAAAGGGAAGAAAGGTCATCTATGTTCCTTTAAATTTGAGTCATTTAGCAGATGCTCTTATCCAGAGCGACTTACAGTGAGTGCATACATTTTAGTACTTTTTCATACTGGTCCCCGTGGGAATCAAACCCACAAACCTACCATTCAAAGTGCCATGCTCTACCAACTGAGCCGTACAGGACCCCAAATGTAAGACTGGTAGTTCTATTCTGGATACAGGTTTTGATTGAATAATGTCATCACCTTAGTTTACTGTACACCAACTCTGCTGGGATGTCTTCCAGAAGCCCCTCCTTGCTGATGAACACAGGGTGGACTATGTGCAGGTGGATGAGAAGAAGACTCAGGCCCTGCAGAACACTAAGATGGAGTGGAAGGATGTCCGGCAGTCTAAAGTGTAAATCAGGTGGGAAAAAACATAATGACTTTCCATTTCATAAAACAAGCGGAGCATATGACATTTGTCATAAGAGATGGTAGCTTACCTCAAAGAGAGCAGTTCTTCTTTCATGTACAAAATAAAAGCACTTTGAAATGCATCAGATATAAACATCTATGAGAGAAGAAAGTAGACGGTGCTGTCAAAGACAGTTTAAATCACTGGTTTGTAGTTTGGGGGCATCAAAATTCACTGTACAAATATCACATCAAAGTTACACTGTGAATGTCACCTTACCATGCACTGTGTCACAGTACTGTTTTTGTATTAAATGTTACGCAATGAAAAGGACACTGCTCATCTCTCATTATTTTGCTGAAACAGATTGTATGTATTCTCAATACACAGGAATTCAAGGATGCTGTTTTTAGATGAACAATGGTCTGCGTATGAGAGCATCTTAAACCAAATGATCAGGTGTCTACAGTGCCTTGCAAAAGTATTCATCCCCCTTGGCGTTTTCCCTATTTTGTTGCATTACAACCTGTAATTTAAATGGATTTCTATTTGGATTTCATGTAATGGACATACACAAAATAGTCCAAATTGGTGAAGTGAAATGAAAAAAATAACTTGTTTAAAAAAAAAAAATAACGGAAAAGTGATGCGTGCACATGAATTCACCCCCTTTGCTATGAAGCGCCTAATTAAGATCTGGTGCAACCAATTACCTTCAGAAGTCACATAATTAGTTAAATAAAGTCCACCTGTGTGCAATCTAAGTGTCACATGATCTGTCATATGATCTCAGTAAATATACACTTGTTCTGAAAGGCCCCAGAGTCTGCAACACCACTAAGCAAGGGGCACCACCAAGCAAGCGACACCATGAAGACCAAGGAGCTCTCCAAACAGGTCAGGGACAAAGTTGTGGAGAAGTACAGATCAGGGTTGGCTTATAAAAAATATCAGAAACTTTGAACATCCCACAGAGCACCATTAAATCCATTATTAAAACATTGAAAAAATATGGCACCACAACAAACCTGCCAAGAGAGGGCCGCCCACCAAAACTCACGGACCTCTGTAGCTCAATTGGTAGAGCATGGCGCTTGTAATGCCAGGGTAGTGGGTTCGATCCCCGGGACCACCCATGCGTAAAAATGTATGCACACATGACTGTAAGTCGCTTTGGATAAAAGCGTCTGCTAAATGGCATATTATTATTATTATTATTATTATTACCAGGCAAGGAGGGCATTAATCAGAGAGGCAACAAATAGACCAAAGATAACCCTGAAGGAGCTGCAAAGCTCCACAGCGGAGATTGGAGTATCTGTCCATAGGACCACTTTAAGCCGTACACTCCACAGAGCTGGGCTTTACAGAAGAGTGGCCAGAAAAAAATCCATTGCTTACAGAAAAAAATAAGCAAACACGTTTGGTGTTCGCCAAAAGGCATGTGGGAGACTCCCCAAACATATGGAAGAAGGTACTCTGGTCAGATGAGACTAAAATTGAGCATTTTGGCCATCAAGGAAAACACTATGTCTGGCGCAAACCCAACACCTCTCATCACCCCGAGAACACCATCCTCACAGTGAAGCATCATGCTGTGGGGATGTTTTTCATCGGCAGGGACTGGGAAACTGGTCAGAATTGAAGGAATGATGGATGGCGCTGAATACAGGGAAATTCTTGAGGGAAACCTTTTTCAGTCTTCCAGAGATTTGAGACTTGAGTGATTTAAAGGGAAACATTTAAATGTCTTGGAATGGCCTAGTCAAAGCCCAGACCTCAATCCAATTGAGAATCTGTGGTATGACTTAAAGATTGCTGTACACCAGCGGAACCCATCCAACTAGAGACATACCCCAAGAGACTTGCAGCTGTAATTGCTGCAAAAGGTGGCTCTACAAAGTATTGACTTTGGGGGGGGGGGGGGTGAATAGTTATGCACGCTCAAGTTTTCAGTTTTTTCACAATAAAAAAAAAATATTTTGTATCTTCAAAGTGGTAGGCATGTTGTGTAAATCAAATGATTAAAACCCCCCAAAAATCCAGTATAATTCCAGGTTGTAAGGCAACAAAATTGGAAAAATGCCAAGGGGGGTGAATACTTTCGCAAGCCACTGTAAGTACAGGTGTATATGTAAAAGTACACATGTAGAGCTGGAATCCTAAAGACAAAGACATGCATTAATGCTTCTGCCCTGCACATTGCATTTGTTGTTGTTTTTTAAGTTCTGATGCCTTGGATTGGCAGCCAGCAGGAAAAGTGCAATGTGATCTGTAGTCATGTCCATAGGGGTTGAATGGAGTGGTATCATTCAAAGAAGTCATATGAACAGGATGAACATCTCAGACCTGATATTGTGTAACAGTACTGTGTAATTACTGTGTCAGAGGGTACCAATGACTCAAACCACAATACTTCACACTATCTCGATAGGTCTAACTACAGCAGAAAGCACTAATCACTGTGTGCCTTTCCTAAACTTGGTAAGGGTGGAGAACTATCTTACAATAAACGGTCTCTTCACAAATGTCGGAAAAGCCATACAGTCTTAACTAGATGTTTCTAAAGATGGAGTTGAACCCATTATTTTAGCACAAGCGGTACCATCTTCAGGTTGTGAGCTTTATTGTTTTAATGTATGCTTTAACATGTCCATGTAATGTATGCAAAGATGCACATCCAATAATGTTTTCATGCTTTAATAAATCACTTTTACCTGACATACAGTACATTTGTTGTCTTTATTTAGTAATCCACTGCTACAGTAGTAGGCTATACTACATCACTGATTAGTGTAGACAACTGAAAGGTTGTTACACACAACCAGCAGGCTACCAAGTCTACCACTTCCCTAACTTGCCAGCTGGGGGCCATAGTGCAATAATACTGTAGCTTATCCTGAAGTTGCACAGTTTCAAACATAATTTTACTCATAAAGTTTAAAGTCTTCATATAGTCTTTCAACATACATATCTGCAATAAACAATAGATTGATTTATTTACACATTCATTGTTATTCTTTAATAGTAGATATTATAAATTATTTATCTTACAGTTTGGTGTGCTTGTCTTTTAGTACATTATGAGGAAAGGCTAAGGAGAGATGGTCATTCTTTGAGGAAAAAGGAAATATAAACACCTGGCATTCAGAGAAATTAAATCAGATAATGTTGGTGTTTATTCATCGCATTAGAGTTTATGTTAATGCACATCTGTTTACAACAAACAGGGTTCATTACAACTTAAGTTATGAAGGAAACAATCATGTTGACACATTTTGATTTATTCCAAGCCATAGTCACAGAATTAATGATAAATCATCCATAATTATTAATAAAACCCCAAAAAATGAAATAAAAACATCTTAACAATTCGATATTGAAGCGTTTGTTTTCATTATAATGCACTTTATTATAAATTAATGAATATTCAATACATAGATCATCAAGATAAAATGCCTTAATATTAAAAGCGTTTTGTCCTTCAATATTACTGCACACTTTCATATTGCACTTTTATACTGTATTTAGTGCAATATATTAAATCCTAGTTAATTTTTTAGGCATAGAAATATCGTTTTAAAAATTGTTTTTACTCTTTGAATACAAATATAGATAACAAGCTTGACCACCAGCCTTCCCTTTGCATTTCTTTATGTGAAATTCTGGTAAAACTCTTTGATTGAAGTTGCCATCATAATGCCTAGAAAACCCACTGGAACCCCCCTGAAACGTTCCCCATATCCTGCTTCATCTAAGCCTGGTGTCAGACGTCAAAAGTGAAGGCTTGAACCTGAAATGACAGGTGTAAATCAGTAATGTCATAACATTGTGCTGGCACTATGAAAGCCACCCCAGGAAAACAACTACCAATATGTTTTTACTGTAGTTCGGCTACAGTGGTATTATTTTCTTGTCCTAACCAATAAAGCTCTCACTATCAAGAATGAACATCACATGAAAATAAAGCCAATGGATATGGGTTTAACCATGGTCATTTTATGGAACTATCGTCAAAGAATTGAATGGTAAGCCTATGTCCAACTCTTATGAGATCGCAATCTTTGTTGAATGACTTGGGCGGTTGAAGGGCATTCTAGCAGACTCTTCTACCTGAAGAAATCACAGGTGCATCTTAGTTAAGTGCAACTATAACCACATAGTATTCTACAATGACTGTGAGGTGCCCAGTGGTAAAGAAAGCACTATGCAATGTACTATATGATAGCTGAATATACTGTAATATCAGGTCTCAAACTTCCATCCTGGTTATGTAAAATCAGTGTGAATGACCATTTAAGAGAACAATTCAAGATGGTATTCCTATCCGACTGAAGTTTCTACATGTAATAAAAATATATACAACATATACTGTACACCCTGTCAACAATATGTAAAGTATATGAATGAGTCACATTGAAGTTGATGATGCTGATTCTCTTTTTCCTTTGACCCGTAAGAATATAATTGCACATAGAACACCTGTAATTGACTTCATCATGCTTTACAAATTAACAAAAATAAAATGTAAATAAATATTCACAAAAACAATACAAGATTGATGAATTTGGCCAGCATTTTACATGTTAACAAAAACAATAAAATAAAATAAGAGAAACCTATAAAATGGCCATTAAGGTCACAGTGAACTGTAGGACACAACCAGATTTGGCATAAAGATCAATGTATGACTAGTGCTTCCTCATTTTTAAATGTGGACACAAAATGAATGTTCAGTTTGTTCTTTCTTGAAACCTGCGATTCCCTTTTCCATTTTCCAAGGATTAGTAGAGGTCACAAAAATATTCTCACAGTTCAGGAGATAGGAAGGTGTTTTGGTTTTCTCAGGTTCCAAAGGTGTGGTTCGCTGTGGTAGTTGTGTTGGTAGTTGTCATTGCACTCATACAGGTAAAGTGATTATAACAGTACAGTCATTAATGAGATGCTCACAAGCTAAATGTTTGACAATCCAAATACTCTTGGGTCCAAATACTATTGTGTTCAGATTTCCCTTCAAAATAGTCACAATTGAATTAGAATGGTGCTTCTAAAAAAAATAAGGTGGTCTTTCTAAACTATCTCGTCTCTATTTCCTAAAGGGGGTTAACCTGCTGAAGCTCTGCCAGAAGGGAGACTTGCACCTTTCAGGTTCAGGGAATTCAAATTCTGATTGTTCCATGCTGTCTCCTACCAAGTACTGTCCTGGATTCATGGGGTCCATAGGAGGGGGGTATCCAGGCGGCACAGACCTATGGCCTAAAATTTGGGAGGAGAGAGATATTAAGGAAGAGGAGAGAGATGCACTATAGATGGACTAAAAACAGACATTGTTAGCAAAACTTGGTTAAGTGTGTATTTACCTTTCTGTTTGGTCATTCTTCGCACTGTCATTGCCGCTTGCCGCTTCTGATACTCTGATATCTCAAACCCTGAAATATATAAATTATTATTATTTTCATTTACCATTTTCATTTATGTTGTGCAAACCTGTGCCCCCGCACATTGACTCTGTACCGGTACACCCTGTATATAGCCTCGCTACTGTTATTTTACTGCTGCTCTTTAATTTTTTTTTATTTTTTTATTTTTTACATATCTATTTTTTACTTAACACTTATTTTTCTTAAAACTGCATTGTTGGTTAAGGGCTTGTAAGTAAACATTTCACTGTAAGGTCTACACATCTTGTATTCGGCGCATGTGACAAATACAATTTGATTTAATTACCATTTCTTTCACATACACACCTATTTTTTCATCCTCTTGCACCATCTTGCGTTCCTCATGGAAAGCTCTGAGCCAGCGAAGTTTCTCCTCCAGCTTCTTGGCCAGGAAGATGTGGATCTCATCTGAGTCCTTATTACTCAGCTTGAACGCGTTCTTCACACTCACGTTGAAGTCATCATCCCGCCCATCGACGGCATCAACTACATTGTACCTGTCCATATCGATGCGGCCCTTGTAGTACAGAATGTCTCGTCGTATCAAGTCCTGAGGGAAAAGGAGGGGAGGGAGGAGTAGAAGGGAAAGGAAAAATAAAGTAGAGAGACGATTCTAATTTACTTTGAATCATCTACACTAGTGCTTTGAACACTAGAAAGGCACTGCGAAACCCAGGTGACAGACAGGAAATGAAAAGGCTTGAATTCCTGGCAGCCAGGAAGAAATAAGTGCATTTTGACTAATTGCAGCCTATCAATTTCCCTGTGACAGACAGGGGTCCATGGAATCACCCTGATGAATAATGCACTTTGCTGTAAGCAGCTGCTCCAGATTCCAGGCGTCCCGTCCCCATTAGTGATGCTGCTGCGTACTCCTGTATTCCTTTCCCCTCTGAGAGCTTGCATCACACTTGTCCCAGCTGCCAGCGGTAAACTCTGAGAGCCACAACAGCCCTGTGTACTGTACTGAAGCCTGTCAGCTACCCCTCACTTCTCTTTGGACATGACGGCCTCTCTTATGTAACAACATTGTTGTCATCCACGTCAGAAGCAGGAATCAATCACAGTGCTAAGGGGAGGGAGATCAAAGATAAGACCTCACAGACAAGCAGGGATGACTAGGGATGACTAGGGATGACTAGGGATGACTAGGGATGTACAGTATATCCATCCAGTTCTGTTACATCAAGGGACATAATATTCTGTACAACAAGGTTAATTCCATTTCAGGAGCTGAATTAAAGAATTGTGTTCCTGACCATTTTCTGTCACGCCCTGGCTCTGGGACTCTGTTATGTTGAGCCAGGGTGTGTTGTTTCTATGTGTTTTGTGTTCTAGGTTGATTATCTAGCTCATGTGTTTCTGTGTTGGCCGGGGTGGTTCTCAATCAGAGGCAACGAGTATCAGCTGTTGCTTGTTGTCTCTGATTGGGAACCATACTTAGGCAGCCTGTTTTCCACAGTATTTTGTGGGATCTTGTTCCGTGTTGGTTTTGTATTGTAACCAAGGACTTCACGTTATCGTTTTGTTGTTTTGTTCGTGTGGTGAATCTAAATAAAAGTATGTTCACTTATCACGCTGCGCATTGGTCCACTGTGTATGACGATCGTGACAGAAGATCCCACCATAACTGGACCAAGCAGCGTGTCCAGGAGCCAACGCCAGAGGTGAATCTAATGGATGTCCACCTCGACTGGGTCAAGCAGCGTGTCCAGGAGCCAACGCCAGAGAGGACTCTAATGGATATCAACCTCGACTGGGTCAAGCCGCGTGAGGAGGAGAGAGGTTGGACTTGGGAGCAGAGGCTGGAGAGTCTGGCGAGAGCCATGGAGGCCATAGCCACGGGGGAGAGACGAACCCAATACATTTTTAGTGGGGGGCTCACACCGTGGACGACGGGACTGCTGGAGGCAGATAAGGGGCGAGGTAGTGGACGAGGAGAGAAGGCCACCGGGTTACGGGAGCCATTGGCGAGTAGAGGGAAGGAAAATGTAGAGGCACGGCGAGAGGTACTGAGGTGTGTTGCCAGTCCGGTCCGGCCCGTTCCTGATCCCCGGGTAAGGCCAGTGGTGTGTGTTCCCAGTGCGGTCCGGCCTGTTCTTGTCCCTCGCACCAAGCCTGTGATGCACGTCGCCAGCCCGGTACGGCCTGTTCCTGCCTCTCGCGCCAAGCCAATGATGCGCGTCGCCAGCCCGGCCCGGCCTGTTCCTGCTCCCCACACCAAGCCAATGGTGCGCGTCGCCAGCCCGGCCCGGCCTGTTCCCCGCACCAAGCCAATGGTGCGCTTCGTCAGCCCGGTTCGGCCCGTCCCTGCTCCCCTCACCAAGCCAATGGTGCGCGTCGCCAGCCCGGCCCGGCCTGTTCCTGCTCCCCGCACCAAGCCAATGGTGCGCGTCGCCAGCCCGGCCCGGCCTGTTCCTGCTCCCCGCACCAAGCCAATGGTGCGCGTCGCCAGCCCGGCCCGGCCTGTTCCTGTTCCCCGCACCAAGCCTGTAGTGCGCTTCGTCAGCCCGGTTCGGCCCGTCCCTGCTCCCCGCACCAAGCCTGTGGTGTGCGTCGTCAACCCGGTCCGGCCCGTTCCGGCTCCCCGCACCAAGCCTGTGGTGCGCGTCGTCAGTCCGGCACAGCCCGTGCCTGGGTCACCGGTGCCTGGTCAGGTACCGGTCAGCTGCTCCACATCGGAGCCTAAGCAATCCGCTCCACCGATGTCCAGTCCAGCTCCAGCCAGCGGGGCCAGACCGGACCAGGGGCGCTACGGAGGGTGGTGGTCAAGCCCGGAGCCGGAACCGCCTCCGAGGAGGAATGCCCACCCGGCCCTCCCCTGTTCGGTTTATGTTTGGCGCGGTCGCAGTCCGCGCCTTTGGGGGGGGGGGTACTGTCACGCCCTGGCTCTGGGACTCTGTTATGTTGAGCCAGGGTGTGTTGTTTCTATGTGTTTTGTGTTCTAGGTTGATTATCTAGCTCATGTGTTTCTGTGTTGGCCGGGGTGGTTCTCAATCAGAGGCAACGAGTATCAGCTGTTGCTTGTTGTCTCTGATTGGGAACCATACTTAGGCAGCCTGTTTTCCACAGTGTTTTGTGGGATCTTGTTCCGTGTTGGTTTTGTATTGTAACCAAGGACTTCACGTTATCGTTTTGTTGTTTTGTTCGTGTGGTGAATCTAAATAAAAGTATGTTCACTTATCACGCTGCGCATTGGTCCACTGTGTATGACGATCGTGACAATTTTCATTTCAAGCTACAAGTTTGTGAGAGCTACCATCATATTTGAATGACTAAGCTTTTAATAAGACACGTACCTAAAGAATGGGATTGATTGAGGGTTTAAGAGCTAAACACTTCATTCATTTAGAATTTCTTAACATGACATTTGAGAATCTCTCAAGACATTTTGAGCTCTTGGATGCATTTAAGAACTTCATATTTTTTTCTTGAGATGCTTCTTTTTTTCATAGTTGTAGAGTTTTGTGAATATGACTCAAAAGTCTTGTTGGTATTGGGGAGTAAAGAAGAATTGCTGTCATATAAACTATCAAACAAGCCTGTTTGGTCATAAAAACTGTAGTCATACTGTCCTAAAGCTCTGTCTCTGTCACCACACTGCTGAGGCTAAGCATTTTCTCTTCCAATCCTGTGACTTTGTGTTTTGCACAATAAATCATTACCCCTTAGGCACACTAAGCTGGTGACGTGACTCTCTTTTTCAAGCAGTGACCTTCATTCGCCTTGAACCTGGGAGGTAGAAACACACCTACTGATTTTGCTGCCATGTTTTATTCACAAACAAATTGATCAATGGATCAGATTTTAAGCTAATTCATGCCAACTGTCTGCAAAAGAGAGGAGTTACATAAGCACCTGGGTGTGCCAAGACTGGTTTCGATCAATTAAATAGCATTTGTGACCCAGATGTGGCCACCTTACCTTTTTACACAGAACCATTTGATGGTCGAACAGGAAGAAGACCCTGGTCTGACTCCGCCCATATGGCTGGTAGATCCATGACATCTCCCCAGTGTAGACCAACTCTGAACTCCTGTCTAGAATATCATCCCCCTGCACAGAGAAATACAAGACGGTCAGATCTTTAAACAGGATCAATAATAGTCTGTGATACATAGTCATCAAAACCGAATCCTTTTATGCTTATGAAATTAGAAAAGTGGCTGATAAGATACTGACTGGTAAGACAGGCTTCATCTCATTAACGTTGACTCTTTAGATCATAAGAGAAGAATCAAATACATAAATAGTGACAAAGTAAAACTCTGGTGGGTTTAAAAAAAATTGAACTTGACATAATTACAGTACCTCAGTGAAAAACTCTCTTCAACTAGGTCAGAGTGATCTGATAACGCTAGCTCTCTCACTCTCGCATCAAATACAGGTTCTAGTCTAGCAACACAGATCCATCCACTTCCTCTTCTCACTCCTGACTAGCTTCATCCTGACGAAATGGAGTGCTTCAAAACGCCCTGTGTTTTCTTATTTCATCAAAAGAGTAATGTTCCAAAAGGAGAGATTGGAGAGATATATTTTCCTTTAAAAAAATAAACAACAACTTCTTGCCTCTGCAAGCCTTCACATAGGCTCTACGTGACAGCTTATCAAAATAGGTGCATTGTAAAATACAAACTCTGACCTACACAAACTAGTGCAGTAGCAAAGGAGTGAGTTGACAGAGCAAAACATTAAACTAAAGCGGCATGGTGTATTCTTGTCCCACAGTACTTGTTCGTTCCTCAGCCCTGTCACCCTGTCTCAGCCCTACCTCCCAGTCCAGCACAGACGCCTGCCACTGTGCTATCTTGTCAATGTTTTCCAGGCGACGCTTCCGCTCGTTAATCTGCTGAGTGACATTCCGCATTACGGCCAGCGCTGCAGCGACATAACGGTAGTCACTACAAGAGGAAGGGAGGATGACACAGTGTTACAGGGGTGGTGACTTAATAAAAATAAGGAATACAAGGTTAACCATAGTACTGTAGATAGTCAGGCATGCAAACTGTGCCACGTCTCTATCATAGACTTCACTTCACAAAATACTTTTAGTTTAGCATCCACGTCTAGGATCCTCACACCCTCATGGCACCCTCATGTCTCCTACAACTAGCCTGAGAGCAAAAAGGACCATTCATTCCAGAAGGATCTTTATCAGTAGAAACATCCATCATAACACAGAGGTGAATGTAAATCTTTGATGTGACATTGAGGCTGAGGGACAGGTACCTATGCTCCTGGACAGTATACTTGAGCAGCTCTGCCAGCTGCAGAGGGTACTTGCAGATCTTCTGGACGGGCGTGAGCAGGAAGCCATCAATGGCGATGTCAATCATCTGCTGCACCAGGCGACACGCCTCGAAGAAGTGCTGATAGCGGCCATCCTTCATCAGCCGAGAGAGCTCCATGCAGGCATCCACGTGGTTGTTGCAGTACTCCGAATATATCCAAAAGCCATCTTGCTGTAAACAGATAAATGTGTACAGTATGTCTGAAATGCAGAAACAAGCTACAAATGTTTATATTTTTAGGAGTTCACAAAAGTTGAAGTTGCCATTGAAACTAATAACCAAAGGGAACTCCCATCATCAAGGTTCTCAGATGTATGACAAAGGATGAGAAAATGGGCATGTACGTATGATACACAAGGTTTACTCAAATCTATTGTGAGAGATTACATTTAAAAAACACTTGAAATCCTGAGAGATACAAAAATGCTTACATGCTCTAGGAAGCAGGGACCTATTTCACTGAGATGAGGTTCTTCTGTATTGTACTGCTTCTCCAGGTCTCTGACGAAGCCCATTTGAAACCTGTAGATATCTTCAATGTTCCCAAATATGACCCTCAACTGGTCGTCGTTGAACATGTCTCTTCTTTTTTTACATTGCCGGAAGTAACCCTGACGCAGCAAAGAAAATAAGAAATAAATGTTTTGTTTCGATCCAATATTAGCTATTGCATTTCAAAGGATAGTATTGCATTGATGTTTCATGGCATCTGAAAAAATGTTTTACCTGTAGGGCATTTAAATAGTTTTGTGTTAGCTTTAAAAAAGGCATCAGTGCCAATGATTGCATCATAGTCATTATTTATTCAAATAAAGGCAGGGAAAATGGCTACAGCTCTATAAGCAAGAGTCTCAGTTATGTAACTCATCCCCTCTGTGGGAGCTTATTTCTCCGATAACATTTCAAATCATTCATGAAAAATCATATAGTTTCACACTTAAGGGACCCATCACACTTCAATACCCAGTCACCTACACATTACGATTTGCCATGTGATGTTGCTTAAACACTTTTTTTTTCTCTGCGTAATTTTCAGTTGTGATTATGTAATATTTCTGTGGAAACAGAGGGAAAACGGATTTAAAAAGTCATAGATCAGATAAGAGCTTTTTGAGTACTTTTTCATGTACTCTCCTGGGTGCATTGTTTGACAGAGACAGGCGGAGCGTGAAATATATGGCGTGCTTGTTACTATATATGCTGGGGAAGAGTGCAGTGTGATGGGAGGGATGCCATTTCTGAGCCCAGCACCAGCACTTACAGGTCAGCATCCCCAGTCATCACTTCTAATCTCTCACTAAAACACTGTAGCCATGTCACTACTCTTTAGAACACCATCATCCTCTGCGGGGTCGGAACCACCGGATGCATCCGGTTTTCAGGGGAAGTAGAAAGAGAGCCTGTGACGCGACTTCCGCTATTGGACGATAAAAAGGCGACACTCCATCTTAACTCCTCCTCCGCATTTACTGGATTGGTTCAACAGTGCAGAAGATAACCTCTCCCGACAGTTTTATTTCTCTCGTCAGGACCAGAAAGAAAGAAACGCCGCTCAGGCGTTTATTTTACGCATGCCCTGCTACGTTAGGTTAGAACACCATTGACTGAAGTTTGCCTTTGAGGGACACGGGAAGCACTGTACTGCATAAATATAAATATAAAGAAACTTCTTCAACCTTCATATTTCATATTGGATCATCACTAGTAACCTGGCTTTTCTTGCTTTGAATAGTGGTTGGATAATGATCTAAAACAAGGTAATTGTCTATAACCTCTGCCTCACATATGCCCTTCAGTCTCTGGAAGATGTCCTCTAGCCAGCCAAGCCTACCTCACATATGTCCTTCAGGTGTTTGATGTAGTGACGCTCTGTGCTCATGATCTCATTGATTATGTTGGCCCTCATCTGGTCTCTATCCTGGGCGGGCTGGCCCAGGCAGAGGCAGTCACTGCTGCTGGGGCTGGCGTCCGCATGGCCGTTCTGGACCTCACTGGGGCTGGGGCTAGCCCCTTCAACTGTCTCTACCGCCGTGCTCTCCTGTTGGTTCACCCACAGCTGAGGACAGCCAAACACAAAATGTCAGCCTGGACAAATATTCGGTAGCATCAACAATCAGGGTTGGGTTGTAAGTATATGATCTAAAATATAATTAAAATACAAAAAACAACACCATACTAATTCCAAAGCCATGGGACTTTTTCTCCCAATTTAAATAAATGTTCAATGCCACTCCTTCAGTTTAACACTGTGCATCATAATTAGATTTGACACAACACCTGTTACAAAAATACAAGTATACAAATATCCATATACTGTCTTCATTCCTCTGATGCACCTGTAAAAGAGGTACCTGTCCAACATTTTTTGTCATTGATCTTGAATTTTAACGAACACATTGCAGGGGGTAAAAGCCTTTACATTGAATTGGTTGAGCTAAAGCAACAGTATGCATCGAATCTAGAAAAATAAACAAGCATGAAATTGCAGGTTAGGCTGAGTACATCACATAGACTGCACAATAGAGCTTTAAGCATGAGCGCTCACAACGTGTAAGGCAGATATTGGGAATTTAAAACAGAGTTTTGCTACTGATAAATGGGACAGTTGATAGACTGCACTGCATAATCCCTGTGTTTCAACAGTGGCTCCCGAAAGTCTGTTTCCCATTGGAGCCATGTTCAAATTGATAGTGATAGACCATGTTATAATGTAATCTAATGAACAATATAAATATATACCACATACAGTGCCTTTAAAAAGTATTCATACCCCTTGACTTATTCCACATTTTGTTGGGTTACAGCCTTTCTTCCTCACCCATCTACACACGATACCCCATAATGACCAAGTGAAAACATGATTTTAGAAATGTTTGCACATTTATTGAAAATGAAATACAGAAATATCTAATTTACATACATATTCAAACCCCTGAGTCAATACTTTGTAGAAGCACCTTTGGCAGCGATTACAGCTTTGAGTTGTCTTGGGTATGTCTGTATCAGCTTTGAACATCTGGATTTTGAGATTTTGCAGACTTTCTCAAGCTCTGTTAAGTTAGATGGGGAGCGGCGGTGAACAGTAATCTTTAAGTCTTACCACAGATTTTCAATGGGATTCAAGTCTAGCCTTTGGCTGGTCCACTCAAGGACTTTCACATTCTTGTTCTGAAGCCATTCCAGCGTTGCTTTGGCTGTATGCTTGGGGTCATTGTCCTGTTGGAACATAAATCTTCGCCCCGGTCTAAGGTCGTTTGCACTCTGAAGCAGGTTCTCATCAAGGATTTGCCTGTATTTGGCTTCATTCATTGTTCCCTCTATCTTTACCTGTCTCCCAGTCCCTGCTGCTGAAAAGCATCCCCATAGCATGCTGCTGCCACCACCATGCTTCACTGTAGGGATGGTGTTAGACCGGTGATGAGCTGTGCCTTGTTTTCTCCAGACATAGGGCTTTGCATTCAGGACAAAAAGTTAAATTTTTTGTCTCATCAGACCACAGAATCATTTTCATTATGCTCTCATAGTATTTCCCGGTTGCTCAGTTTGGTCGGACGGCCAGCTCTAGGCAGAGTCTGGGTAGTTCCATATTCTTTAAATTTCCCAATGATGGAGACCACTGTGCTCTTGGAAACTTTCAACACTAGAAATTGTTTTATACCCTTCCCCAGATATATGCTTCATCACAATTCTATCTTGGAGATCTACAGACAGTTCATTGGACTTCATGGTATAGATTCTGCTCTGACATGCACTGTCAACTGTGGAACCTTATAATGACAGGTGTGTTTCTTTCTAAATTATGTCCAAACAATTAAATTGGCCACAGGTGGACTCCAATGAAGTTGTAGTGACGTGTCAAGGATGATCAAAGGAAATTGGATGCACCTGAGCTCAATTTGGACTGTCATAGCAAAGGGGTGTGAATGCTTACAGTGAGGGAAAAAAGTATTTGATCCCTCTGCAAAACATGACTTAGTACTTGGTGGCAAAACCCTTGTTGGCAATCACAGAGGTCAGACGTTTCTTGTAGTTGGCCACCAGGTTTGCACCCATCTCAGGAGGGATTTTGTTCCACTCCTCTTTGTAGATCTTCTCCAAGTCATTAAGGTTTCGAGGCTGACGTTTGGCAACTCAAACCTTCAGCTCCCTCCACAGATTTTCTATGGGATTAAGGTCTGGAGACTGGCTAGGCCACTCCAGGACCTTAATGTGCTTCTTCTTGAGCCACTCCTTTGTTGCCTTGGCCGTGTGTTTTGGGTCATTGTCATGCTGGAATACCCATCCACTACCCCTTTTCAATTTGACAGTACATGGCCCTGTCCATCGTCCCTTTGATGCGGTGAAGTTGTCCTGTCCCCTTAGCAGAAAAACACCCCCAAAGCATAATGTTTCCACCTCCATGTTTGACGGTGGGGATGGTGTTCTTGGGGTCATAGGCAGCATTCCTCCTGCTCTAAACACGGCGAGTTGAGTTGATGCCAAAGAGCTCGATTTTGGTCTCATCTGACCACAACACTTTCACCCAGTTCTCCTCTGAATCATTCAGATGTTCATTGGCAAACTTCAGACGGGCATGTATATGTGCTTTCTTGAGCAGGGGGACCTTGCGGGCGCTGCAGGATTTCAGTCCTTCACGGCGTAGTCTGTTACCAATTGTTTTCTTGGTGACTATGGTCCCAGCTGCCTTGAGATCATTGACAAGATCCTCCCGTGTAGTTCTGGGCTGATTCCTCACCGTTCTCATGATCATTGCAACTCCACGAGGTGAGATCTTGCATGGAGCCCCAGGCCGAGGGAGATTGACAGGTCTTTTGTGTTTCTTCCATTTGCGAATAATCGCACCAACTGTTGTCACCTTCTAACCAAGCTGCTTGGCGATGGTCTTGTAGCCCATTCCAGCCTTGTGTAGGTCTACAATCTTGTCCCTGACATCCTTGGAGAGCTCTTTGGTCTTGGCCATGGTGGAGAGTTTGGAATCTGATTGATTGATTGCTTCTGTAGACAGGTGTCTTTTATACGGGTAACAAGCTGAGATTAGGAGCACTGCCTTTAAGAGTGTGCTCCTAATCAGCTCGTTACCTGTATAAAAGTCACCTGGGAGCCAGAAATATTTATGCTTGAGAGGGGGTCAAATACTTATTTCCCTCATTAAAATGCAAATCAATTTATAAAATTTTTGACATGCGTTTTTCTGGATTTTGTTGTTGTTATTCTGTCTCTCACTGTTCAAATAAACCTACCATTAAAATTATAGACTGATCATTTCTTTGTCAGTGGGCAAACGTACAAAATCAGCAGGGGATCAAATACTTTTTTCCCTCACTGTATATAAATGAAATATTTCTGTATTTCATTTTCAATATATTTGAAAAAAAAATCTAAAAGCATGTTTTCACTTTGTCATTATGAGGTATTGTGTGTAGATGGGTGAGAAAAAAATATATTTAATCAATTTTGAATTCAGGCTGTAACACAACAAAATGTGGAATAAGTCAAGGGGTATGAATACTTTCAGAAGGCACTGTAGTTCTGTAAATTAACAGTTTGCATATATTCACATCAAACACAAATATCAGGACTCAATAGAGCAGGGATGGCAACTGGTCGTGTCCCGCGGATCAATAGTAGAATACACAAGGTGCAATTTCGAAATGTGGTTGTGCATCAGCAGTTTGTCTCTTGTTATCTGAGTCACTGACAGTCACTCCATTAGCCTATGTCAGCATTTTTTTTATTTAGATCGGTAAATTAGTGTAGCGGCCAGCTATCTAAACATGTAGTAATCATGGTCGAATTACCAAATTACCAAAAACATTTGCTTAGGGCCTCCAAAAGATTAAGGCCGGCTTTGACTGCATGTGTGGGTATGGATGTGGGTATGCAGACCCGCGAGCCACTGTGGCCCCTCATGATGAGTTCAGATTTTTGGTGGCCCCTCAAAGTTACCCATCCCTGTGAAGAACCCTCACAGTGAAACACCCAACTTGTCAAAAAGTTTTTGTTATTCATAAAGTGCTGTGACTATGTCTAGTAGAACAAAGCAAAACCTTTCTGTGGTGTTGCTGTGGTTATTAAACTGAGAGTGATATGGAATTCCACCTTTCCTTTTTAATTGTCATATTATGATATTACAGACTGAAGGTGGATCTGTTGGACACGGATTAGGTGTTGGTTAACACACACACAGATAAGAAATAACATTGCATTACAAAAGCGATAAAACCATGAAACAATTAATATGATGTCCTTCTACGCAGTATTCACTGTTAGATTACAATCTGATACCTCCTAGTTGAAGGAGTTGCAGGAGTTGTGAGCGCATTCGCGCATCGGTTGCTTGAAGGCATCTCAAGGAATGAGCTGTCACTTTGTGTAATCCTCAAAGGGAACTAATTTTAGCATCCTTGCCAGAGAACACGGGGTAGGTAGCTGACTCCTAATGCAAATCTACTTAATCATGATGTTTTTCAGGAGAATACAAATTTCAAAGCCAGCCATGATGCAACTGTGTTGTTAATGGGCACATTGCCCTCTAGGATATGAGGGTACTATGTTCCCATAGAATTATCTTATTATTTTCTTTCACACAAAGAGAATCAACACATTAAATGAGGTGTGATCAGTCTGTAGATTCTGTCAAATTAAAAAAAGATGAGGCTGAAACATTTACTCCAGAGAGTTTTGCTCAATCATCCCGACATATCTGACTGTTTGTTTGCAAATATGAGGTAGTTGCTTAACTTTGATGGTGGTCATTAACCCCATGAGAACAGCTACTGTAAGTTAGTTATTGGTTGTGCTGTTTTGTCCTTCACCACTATTTGGGTAGCAAACCATACTTTGAGAGGCTGCACATAAAGAAGATGGGTATAAAGCACCTCTGGCATATGCCAATATATGTTACAAACACAAGACCTCGCCATAACAAACACAGACAAGGCCTTCACCCAAGCTGGGTATTCTAACTGGAAGAATGCTACTGATAGTACCAAAGGATTTGATGCACCACCACCAGCTCCAAGCAAACGACGAAGTTAGGAAAGTACAAATCTCCAGCAAAATCTGGTGGACAGTACAGTAGGCCAGGAGAACTATAGGAGAAGAGACTGTTCTTCAGCACGTGTCAGAAATGTCAGAACGATTTTGCGAACGCATCAGCCAACTGGTGGAGGCCCTGTGTGTCCTTGACCCAGAGAGCCATGACTTTCTAGATGTGAAAAAGGTAAAACAACTGCTGGATCTAAGCAAAACAGATTTGGTGGAAGCTGAGTTTAGTGTTGCTCGCCAGTTTTTGCAGACTGAAATCGCACGCTCTGGCACCAACTGCATTAAGTACTGCAGTGCATCTCCTCCTCATGGACTGCACCAGATTTGCCAGTTCTTGCTGTGAGATGTTACCCCACTCTTCCACCAAGGCACCTGCAAGTTCCCGGACATTTCTGGGGGGAATGGCCCTAGCCCTCACCCTCCGATCCAACAGGTCCCAGACGTGCTCAATGGGATTGAGATCCGGGCTCTTCGCTGGCCATGGCAGAACACTGACATTCCTGTCTTGCAGGAAACCACGCACAGAACGAGCAGTATGACTAGTGGCATTGTCATGCTGGAGAGTCATGTCAGGATGAGCCTGCAGGAAGGGTACCACATGAGGGAGGAGGATGTCTTCCCTGTAAAGCACAGCGTTGAGATTGCCTGCAATGACAACAAGCTCAGTCCGATGATGCTGTGACACACTGCCCCAGACCATGATGGACCCTCCACCTCCAAATCGATCCCGCTCCAGAGTACAGGCCTCGGTGCTACCCTCATTCCTTTGACGATAAACACGAATCCGACCATCACCCCTGGTGAGACAAAACCGCGACTCGTCAGTGAAGAGCACTTTTTGCCAGTCCTGTCTGGTCCAGCGACGGTGTGTTTGTGCCCATAGGCGACGTTGTTGCCGGTGATGTCTGGTGAGGACCTGCCTTACAACAGGCCTACAAGCCCTCAGTCCAGCCTCTCTCAGCCTATTGCGGACAGTCTGAGCACTGATGGAGGGATTGTGCGTTCCTGGTGTAACTCGGGCAGTTGTTGTTGCCATCCTGTACCGGTCCCACAAGTGTGATGTTTCGGATGTACCGAAACATCACGTGGTCTGCCATTGCGAGGACGATCAGCTGTCCGTCCTGTCTCCCTGTAGCGCTGTCTTAGGCGTCTCACAGTACAGACATTGCAATTTATTGCCCTGGCCACATCTGCAGTCCTCATGCCTCCTTGCAGCATGCCTAAGGCACATTCACACAGATGAGCAGGGACCCTGGGCATCTTTCTTTTGGTGTTTTTCAGAGTCAGTAGAAAGGCCTCTTTAGTGTCCTAAGTTTTCATAACTGTGACCTTAATTGCCTACCGTCTGTTAGCTGTTAGTGTCTTAACGACCGTTCCACAGGTGCATGTTCATTAATTGTTTATGGTTCATTGAACAAGTATGGGAAACAGTGTTTAAAGCCTTTACAATGAAGATCTGTGAAGTTATTTGGATTTTTACGAATTATCTTTGAAAGACAGGGTCCTGAAAAAGGGACGTTACTTTTTTAAGCTACATTCTATTATGGTTTTCTTGGTAGCCTATTGGTTTGTGTTGTTGTAAATGGAACTGTACGTATTGGAAACGTGTTTATGGTAGGCTGGCATTGCTTAAATGATTACGTGGGTCAAATTTGATTCACAGAAGTGTATTGTGCCATATTACAACGTGTTGCTGAACTCATGAGCGAGTGCCATGATTTTCCATGTTTGAAGCGGGCCTGTATAGGCCTATTTATTTGGCAAGACAGCTGTGCATGGCTGCATCTCACTGTAGTAGGCTGTAGGCTGCTGTATGTTTTGGTTATTTATGTTTTGGTTATTTGGATCTCCATTCGCCTTTTGTTTACTTTAATGTAACTAGCCTAAATATAGATTGTGCCATGCCTTTATCAATCTGATATTTTGTTTACTAGGCCTACTACTTGGTACCGCTGTTTTGTTCTGTTCACATTTATTCGCATTCGCAGTTGTGTCGGTATTCTAAGACAAACTGCACACTTAGAAAAAACTGTGCTATCTAGAACCTAAATGGGTTCTTCGGCTATCCCCATAGGAGAACCCTGTGAAGACCATTTTTTGGTCCTGGGTAGAACTCTTTTGGTTCCAGGTAGAACTATTTTGGGTTCCATGTAGAACCCTTTCCACAGAGGGTTCTACTTGGACCCCAAAAGGGTTCTATCTGGAACCAAAAAGGGTTCTACCTGGAACCAAAAAGGGTTCCTCAAAGCGTTCTCCTATGGGGACAGCCGAAGAACCCTTTTGTAACCCTTTTTTCTAAGAGTGTGCTATTCAGTATTTTTGTTTGCATGCATGAATAACTAGGCTACTACTTTCATCATTTAGTTTGCATTATTTTGGTAAGACAGCTGTGAGTATGGCTGCATTCACATATGCTGTTTGAATAGGTGAATTGCTCTATCTTGTAGCCTCTATTCATTACCAAAACGGACTAGCTTTAGGGTGCTGTTCATTGCGCTGATACAGCGCAGCAGAGATAGGCTACAGATTTCAGATCCTGGCACTGGGTCTGTCTCAGTGCTTGATGGTACTCTGTGTACATGGTTTATCTCAGCCTGAGTACATTGTCCACGGGTGTCTATTTAGGGCCAACTCTTTCTGTTTCCATTAACCAGTGGACAAAGACTATATGATAAATTCATAGGATGGGCACAAGAATCCAGAAATACTATTAAGATTTTAGAAAATGTACTGAAAATAACTTTCAACATGCCAACAAATCCAGTTACATAAAATAACCATTAAATAGCTTTTATTTGAGTCACTCATCAATCCTTGCTCTTTTTATCCACCTGTTTGATATGCCCTGTCCTCTGCTAAAAGGGTGGTCATACATGTTTCATCATTCAGATCTGCGATTAATCAGTGCCTCAGTACTCACTTTTCAGTTTAGTGAGAGAGCAGATAGTGAGAAAAAGAGTGAAAGAAGAATGAGAGAAATAGAATGTGTGAGAGAGAGTGGAGAGCAAGGCAGAGGCCACCACTCACTTTCAAGGCCAATTTGGAAAAGGTTTCCTACACCTTTCCCAAGTTGATAATTAACACATTTCTATTGTTTGTTTAGATTCTGATGGAAGCACTTTATCAATTAAGAATTAAGAATAACTATTCTTTATATTTGTTTGAGATACCATAGTTGAACCTTAATGCCATTAAAAGCTTGACACTTGAAGCATGGTGTTGTCTGCAAATGGATCAGTAGTATCAAAGCGACAAGATGTTAGATATGGGGTGGTTCAATGTGCAGTGAGATGCTAGTTAAATACTTGCTGAAACTATTAAACGCACCTTGGTAGTTGTGTTTTGGAACCTTGGAGCTGCTATAGGGTTGATATAGAAAACCTGTTTTGTTTGAGGTTGTGGTAGGTGGGGTTCAACCTTTGGAGAGAAAAACATGACATACCTTGTTCAGACTCATTTTTACAGTTAGCAGATTGAGAAGGTTAGTAGTGATAACCCCCCAAAGTATTAACTTCTCACTTTTCTTCTTCTTGTTTTCACAGTATTTCATTTGGAGAGTAAATATGTTCAGTTCCTGTGAGATTACCATGGCATAATAATATTTTTATCAATCTCAAAATATCATCATCATCAAAGCCTAAAATATCTGCCTTCAAAACGGGGCAGTCGATCAACAATTATCAATGATAAGGCAATGGCAAATTAGTAATGGGGAAGCTACTCTGAAAATATTGTTTACCAAGCTACCAATTACTTCACACTGGAAGAAGGTAAGCTACACTAAAGCTACCCTGAAGAAAAAATAGTTTACTTAACTAAAGTTACTTTGAAAAAGTAGTTCACTTCATCCAAACTACTTCGTGAAAGATTATTATATAGATCTGAAATTTCTACTAATTGCAAGAATAGATCACTTTGGGGTCATATGTTAACATAATGTGTTATTTAGCCTATTATCACAAAAATTATGTTTGAAGTTAGAATTAGGCAGGTCTGATGCCGAAAAAAAGAAAGGAAATTATTGCCTAATTTACCCTTCTTTTATTTTTGCAAAAAAAATGTAGTGTGTAGTTCCAGTAGTTAGCTACACCGCTACATGGCAAAAAAAGTTATTAACTCCTGAAAACACTACCTTGATTTGAATTTAGTTCAACTACCACCAAGCTACTGCAAAATGTAGTTGTTTACTACTCCCCAACACTGATAATCCATCACACCATTGTGCATATGTGGTGAACCCTTGTGTACTGGTTGAGAGGCAAGACACGGTGCAGCAGAGAATGAGAAAATCGTTGATGGCTCCACTCACCCTCACAAAGCTGGCTGGGAACCATCCTTCTTCATCGTCAATCTGTCCCCACCACCAGTCCTTATTTGATGCATCGAGGACCTTGATTACATCCCCCGCCTTAAATGCCAACTCCCTGTCGGCCATGGTGACATGATCCCATACTGCCTCAGCGCTGACGATGGATCCTCCACTGATCAACTGTGGGAGAGGGGTGAGGGGATAGGGGAGAGGAGAGAAGGGAAGTGAGATGGGAAAGAGAAGAGAGGAGAGGGAAAATGGGATATTGGGGTGAGAGGAGAGAGGGGGTAGAGGGTAGAGGGGAAATGGGGGGGGGGGGGGGGGTGAGAGGGGAGGAGAGGGGAGGAGAGAGGAGGGTAAGGGCTCATTAGTACTCTAATTTTCTCATTCAACTTCTAGCAAAAGGGCAGCAGGGCACTGTCAAGTCTTGGCGACCATATCTGATTTTTGACCAACTTATCTACCTACAAATTTTTTTTATATATAAACTCAGCAAAAAAAGCAACGTCCCTTTTTCAGGACCCTGTCTTTCAAAGATAATTTGTAAAAATCCAAATAACTCCACAGATCTTCATTGTAAAGGCTTTAAACACTGTTTCCCATGCTTGTTCAATGAACCATAAACAATTAAGGAAACATGCACCTGTGGAACGGTCGCTAAGACACTAAAAGCTAACAGACAGTAGGCAATTAAGGTCACAGTTATGAAAACTTAGGACACTAAAGAGGCCTTTCTACTGACTGAAAAACACTAAAAGAAAGATGCCCAGGATCCCTGTTTATCTGCATGAACGTGCCTTAGGCATGCTGCAAGGAGGCATGAGGACTGCAGATGTGGCCAGGGCAATAAATTGCAATGTCCGTACTGTGAGATGCCTAAGACAGCGCTACAGGGAGACAGGACGGACAGCTGATCGTCCTCGCAGTGGCAGACCACGTGAAACAACACCTGCACAGGATCGGTACATCCGAACATCACACCTGCGGCACAGGTACTGTTGTAAGGCAGGTCCTCACCAGACATCACCGGCAACAACGTCGCCTATGGGCACAAACCCACCGTCGCTGGACCAGACAGGACTGGCAAAAAGTGCTCTTCACTGACGAGTCGCGGTTTTGTCTCACCAGGGGTGATGGTCGGATTTGTGTTTATCGTCGAAGGAATGAGCGTTACACCGAGGCCTGTACTCTGGAGCGGGATCAATTTGGAGGTAGAGGGTCCGTTATGGTCTGGGGCGGTGTGTCACAGCATCATCGGACTGAGCTTGTTGTCATTGCAGGCAATCTCAACGCTGTGCGTTACAGGGAAGACATCCTCCTCCCTCATGTGGTACCCTTCCTGCAGGCTCATCCTAACATGACCCTCCAGCATGACAATGCCACCAGCCATACTGTTTGTTCTGTGTGTGATTTCCTGCAAGACAAGAATGTCAGTGTTCTGCCATGGCCAGCGAAGAGCCCGGATCTCAATCTCATTGAGCACGTCTGGGACCTGTTGGATCGGAGGGTGAGGGCTAGGGCCATTCCCCCCAGAAATGTCCGGGAACTTTCAGGTGCCTTGGTGGAAGAGTGGGGTAACATCTCACAGCAAGAAGATGCACTGCAGTACTTAATGCAGCTGGTGGCCACACCAGATACTGACTGTTACTTTTGATGTTGACACCCCCTTTGTTCAGGGACACATAATTCAATTTCTGTTAGTCACATGTCTGTGGAACTTGTTCAGTTTATGTCTCAGTTGTTGAATCTTGTTATGTTCATACAAATATTTACACATGTTAAGTTGGCTGAAAATAAACGCAGTTGACAGTGAGAGGACGTTTCTTTTTTTGCTGAGTTTATATATACAGTGCATTCAGAAAGTATTGACACCCCTTGACTGTTTCCACATTTTGTTACGTTACAGCCTTCTTCTAAAATTGATTAAATTATTGTTTTTTTCTCATCAATCTACACATAATACCCCATAATGACAAAGCAAAAACTGAAATATTACATTTACATAAGTTTTCAGACCCTTTACTCAGTACTTTGTTGAAGCACCTTTGGCAGTGATTACAGCCTCGAGTCTTCTTGGGTATGGCGTTAAGAGCATGGCACGCCTGTATTTGGGGAGTTTCTCACATTCTTCTCTGCAGATCCACTCAAGCTCTGTCAGATTGGATGGTGATCGTTGCTGCACAGCTATTTTCAGGTCTCTCCAAAGATGTTCGATTGGGTTCAAGTCCAGGCTCTGGATGGGCACCTCAAGGACATTCAGAGACTTGTCCCGAAGCCACTCCTGCGTTGTCTTGGCTGTGTGCTTAGGGTCATTGTCCTGTTGGAAGGTGAACCTTCGCCCCAATCTGAGGTCCTGAGTACTCTGGAGCAGGTTTTCATCAAGGATCTCTCTGTACTTTGCTACGTTCATCGTTGCCTCGACCCTGAGTAGTCTCCCAGTCCTTGCCGCTGAAAAACATTCCCACAGCATAATGCTGCCACCACCATGCTTCACCGTAGGGATGGTGCCACGTTTCCTCCAGACGTGAATGTCACGGATACGGCCGAGGCTGCCCCTCCTCCTCGTTCGGGCAGGCTTCGGCGGTCGTCGTCACCGGAGTACTAGCTGCCACCGATCGATGTTTCTGTGTCTCACTAGTTCTGTCTTTATTGTTCGCACCTGTTACTCATTAGGCTTATAAGTTTCCCTATATTACCTCTGTTTTCCCTCCTGGGTGTGTGCGTGATTGTTCTTTGTTACGTCGTCTGTTGAGCTGTTGTTTTGCTCTTCCCTGCGTGGAGGGTTTGCTATGGTTTACTTGGATTCTAGTAAAGCCATTTATCTCTCAGTTCTGTGTCCTGCGCCTGATTCCGTTTCCCTACTGCACCCAGACGCTGACAGAATCACGCACCCGTTATGGAGTCAGCAGGCACGCCCGATCCCAGCGCTTCGGTGGAGGAACGCATCCACCAGCACGTGACCATGCTGCAGAGACTAGGTTCGGCTCTGGATCAAGTGATCAACACCATGGATCGATGGGAAAGAGTCTGGTTTTCTACACCTCCTCCTTCGCCGATTTCTCTTCCATCAAGATCCTCAAACCCTGGGTCCAGTGGTATTCGGCTCTCGCTCCCGAGGGAATACGATGGGACAGCTGCCGGGTGTAAGGGTTTCCTGCTCCAGGTGGAACTTTACCTGGCCACCATCCACCCGGCTCCCTCGGGATACGAGAGTGTGTCCGCCCTCATCTCCTGTCTGTCGGGCAGAGCCCTGGAATGGGCCAACGCGGAGTGGGGTGGAATAGACGCTGAGTCCGTTCGTTATGAGGATTTTACCCGCCGTTTCCGGGCCGTATTCGATCATCCGCCTGAGGGGAGAGCGGCGGGGGAGCATCTGTTTCACCTCAGCCAGGGAAGGAGGAGCGCAAAGGAATTCGCCCTGGATTTCAGGACACTGGCAGCCAGCGCGGGATGGAACGAGAGGGCCCTGATTGATCACTACCGATGCAGTCTACAGGAGGACGTCTGTCGGGAGCTGGCCTGCAGGGACACCAATCTTAACCTGGACCAGCTGGTAGATTTATCGATCCGGCTGGATAACCTGTTGGCTACCCGCGGACGTCCAGATCAGGGTCCGTCCAGTCCATCCCCCAGCACTTCCGAGTCCACACCTATGGAGCTTGGAAGTGCTGATGCGGAGAGACCGAGCAAGGGGGTGGTCTCCTGCACCAACTGTGGCCGCAGAGGACACACTGCGGGCCGGTGCAGGAGAAGACCCTCATGGAATCGAGGCAGCAGGCAGGGTTCTGGGGGACCATCCCAGGTGAGTAGGCACCCAACTCACCCAGAGCTCCCTGTTGCTCACATGATGATTAATGTTATGTTCCCTGAGTTTTCCTCACATTCCCAGCATAGGGCACTCGTAGATTCCGGCGCAGCTGGGAATTTCATGGATAGATTGGTTGCACATAGATTAGGGATTCCTATATTGCCGTTAGATGTGCCCTTCCCCATACGTGCCCTAGATAGTCGCCCATTAGGGTCAGGTATGGTTAGGGAGGTCACAGCTCCACTTCGGATGGAGACACAGGGGGGTCATGAAGAGAGAATTAGTCTCTTCCTTATTGATACTCCTGCGTTTCCCGTGGTGCTGGGCCTTCCCTGGCTAGCCACCCATGACCCCAGTATTTCCTCCGCCCCCATTGGACATTGAGGGGGCACCGGCGTACTCGGTCCGTTCCATCATGGATTCGAGGCGTCGGGTTGGAGGCCTGCAGTATCTCGTGGAGTGGGAGGGGTACGGTCCGGAGGAACGGAGCTGGGTTCCCAGGAGGGACATCCTCGATCCCTCCCTGTTAAGGGAGTTCCATCATCGTCATCCGACTCGCCCTGCTCCGCGTCCTCCTGGCCGTCCCTGAGGCCGGTGTCGTCAGGGGGGGGGGGGGGTACTGTCACGGATACGAACGAGGCTGCCCCTCCTCCTCGTTCGGGCAGGCTTCGGCGGTCGTCGTCACCGGAGTACTAGCTGCCACCGATCGATGTTTCTGTGTCTCACTAGTTCTGTCTTTATTGTTCGCACCTGTTACTCATTAGGCTTATAAGTTTCCCTATATTACCTCTGTTTTCCCTCCTGGGTGTGTGCGTGATTGTTCTTTGTTACGTCGTCTGTTGAGCTGTTGTTTTGCTCTTCCCTGCGTGGAGGGTTTGCTATGGTTTACTTGGATTCTAGTAAAGCCATTTATCTCTCAGTTCTGTGTCCTGCGCCTAATTCCGTTTCCCCACTGCACCCAGCCGCTGACAGTGAAGCTTGGCATTCAGGCCAAAGAGTTCAATCTTGGTTTCATTAGACCAGAGAATCTGGTTTCTCATGGTCTGAGAGTCTTTCGGTGCCTTTTGTCGAACTCCAAGCGGGCTGTCATGTGCCTTTTACTGAGGAGTGGCTTTCGTCTGGCCACTCTACCATAAAGACCTGATTGGTGGAGTGCTGCAGAGATGATTGTCCTGCTGGAAGGTTATCCTATCTCCACAGAGGAACTCTAGAGCTCTGTCAGAGTGACCATTGTGTTCTTGGTCACCTCCCTAACTAAGGCCCTTCTCCCCCGATTGCTCAGCTTGGCCAGGCGGCCAGCTCTAGGAAGAGTCTTGGTGGTTCCAAACTTCTTCCAGTTAAGAATGATGGAGGCCACTGTGTTCTTGGAGAC